CATTCAGATTCCGTTTTGTACATAAGTGACTTGGGTGCTTATTTAGACAACCATTTATTTAGCATAAAGGCTTATGTCACGGAGCTGCTTTTTTTTAAAACAAAATTCACACCAACCAAATTTCTCATTGACCCCTGTTATTTATCTCCAACTGAAGTCAAAGTTCAAACAGAGAAAGTGTAGAAAGTGAATCATCTATGGATTTCTCACTGCTTCCAGCACCTGCCTTCACAACTCCAAACAAATGTAACTGTGTAAAGAACAGCACCTCCTAAAACGATAAAAAGCCCAGCGACACAAAATGTGACGAAGTTAAGAGTGGTAGCAGCTCTTCTCTATGGCCCTATTCTTTGTTTTCAGCAACCATACTGACGTCACAAAATTAGCCCAATATTGGTCTTAAAATACAACATGCACAATCTTTTAATCCATTTAACATCTTTTAAGTGTACACACACCACTTGAGCACTAAGCCCTAGATGTCTGAGGTTTGTGCATTTTTTCTGTTCCTTTACTTAATATGTTTGAGTCAAAGTCAATTTTACCCCACTGAAGCAGTTGAAAGGACTAAAAGGACTTAATATATTATGTAACCCAGTTCTGGTTAATACAGAGCGGCTGGGTGCTGTAGTTTGATAGTGGGGCGAGTTTATCGCTTGTATCACAAGGTTCATTCAGCTGGATAGGGAAATGTCTGGTGTTCTCATTGTGATTTGCAAGAACAACCTCCCCTTCTAATCCCACTAGTCCTGTTACATGATATCAGCGGGAAAGACATTCCTGTGCTGGTAAAGCCATCCCTTGTTCTCTCTCTGTTTTCTGTACATCCCCCCCAATGTCTGTCCATCATATCACTTGTTTCCTATTTCCATCGCTTATCTTTAACTTTTCTCTCTCGGTGTCCCCTCCTCTAGACTCTCTCTTCCACCCCACTGCCCTCCATCTTGCCCTACAAACATGGCCGTATTTGGGTTTGTGGGAAGGGGTTGGAGTGCGCAGGGTGGGGGCTGAGATTATCGCCATGGCGATCCACATCAAAACAGTCCAGTAAGGGAAGTGTGGGGGTGTGTTCACACATTTCCAGTCATATTACTACAGTTACAGCAGGAGGAGCTGAAAGAGGAGCTTGATGTTAATATAAAGGCTGAGTCATGACTTGGTCAAAGGCCACTAAAGCTAATGAGGATGACATCACCAAAACATTACAGGACATTGTGCTTTTATAAGTCTCCTTTTGCCACTGTCATTGTTCTAAAATTATCTTGCTGCATTTTCATTAGTTGGAAAATGTGTCAGAGTAAAAAATAGCACAGTACTAAAACCAAACCCACATCATTGTTACAAGAAAAAATGCATCTACTGGTGGTTTCTGCATAACACAATTATGGATCTGCCTCCTAGAATTCTTGTTTATAACATTTTTGGTTGCCTGATGTTTTTCAATGTCCTTGTACTCTTTACTTGCAATTTTGGTCATTTAGGAATTTAATTGGAGCTTTTTTACCATGTTCTATTAAGGCAACATTTATAAAGGGTGCCAGTTAACTTACTCAAAGGCTCTTCTCTATTTTACTTTACAATTGTACTGTAATTGTCATGTTTGGCCACATCGGCCACAATTAGAAGAGTAAGCTTTGTTTTGAGGGTGCTGCAAGAAATCTCTTAATGTAAGCTTGCGTTCTTGTTCGGATGAATCAAATCTTGATGACCCATATTGTTGTTGGTACTTTTGTTTACTCAGCAAACTGTACTTGGAAGGAAAATCTCTTAAAAGAAAATGCCAGAAGAAATCTTTTTTTTCAGATAATCAAGTCTGAAGCAAGGAATGTGCCAATAACTCATAGGAGATAAAATTCCAGTAGGGCTTTCCTTGTTTCAAAACATCCATGTTGGCACATTGTCAATATGTTTGGCAATGAAGAAACACAATTTCTTTGTTTTAGATTCACTACACTGAAGGAACATGAACTGTTTTCCCTAATTTTTGTTGCTAAGACGATTGTGCAACTGAAATTGAAATTTAATTCCTAGGAGTCTCAAAGTGCAGGAAAAAGAGAGGGAAGCTACATGACTTTAACTTAAGTTACATTGTTCTTCTACATTACAGATAGATCTGTTTCCACAGTTCTCATACCACAACAGCGAACCACCGTAATATCTATGACACTTCTACTTATTTTTCTCATATCCCATTCAACAGTGCCAACATAGTGAGCACAGCAGTCACTGAGCACATCTGGTTTCTCCTGAATTCACAGCACTTGGCAATGACGTAGAACCAAAGATGGAGGAGCTGAGGGTGCTGGCCCATCTGTTTCTGCTGAAATCCCAGTTTCTCTTAGTGAGAGACAGGATCTGTGGTGGTGATGATGCAGACCCAAGATGGAGGAACAGAAGGGACGGGGCCCACATCTGTTTCTGCTCAGCAAGCAGCTCAGTTCTAAGGAAAAGGGCCTGTAGAGCTGGCTTTACTAGGGAATGGACACTTTGCTCGCCAAGTCAGCCTGCTGCCTTACTGGCATCGGGGCAATAGCCACACACACACTTATACAGAGAGCAAGGGCATCAAGGGCAAAGCGTAGGCGGCTGTGTGTGTGTGTGTGTGTGTGTGTGTGTGTGTGTGTGTGTGTGTGTGTGTGTGTGTGTGTGTGTGTGTGTGTGTGTGTGTGTGTGTGTGTGTGTGTGGTATTCTGGGTTGGACCATACTTGGATGCGCCGGGCCAAGCAGCAACTTTGTCGGAATGTTTGTACTCTGCTCTTAACTCTGTCTCTCTGTCTTTCCATCTCTCCGATCCCTGTGATGTAGGAGTTCTGGTTCAGCTTTTTTTCTCTTTACAAACCTTCCATCCATCTCCTTCCTCTCTCATCTGTTCTTCAAATCCTGCATTCCTCTCCTCTCTCTGTTTGCCCTCTACCTCCCACCAATCCTCTGGACCCTCATGCTCTGATTGTTTTACAGGAAGCCCAGTCACGGGGTGTTTGTGCATGTGTGTGTCTGTGCATGTGTGTGTCTGTGCATGTGTGTGTTTGTGCATTAGTGTGTGTCTGTGTGTGTGTGTGTGTGTGTGTGTGTGTGTGTGTGTGTGTGTGTGTGTGTGGTATATCTAGCTGACTCAGCCTGATCTCCAGCCCAGTACTGAGACCCTGCCAGACCAGAACAGACAACCGACAACATGCTGACATGCTCCTGTCTATCATGTGTGTTGCTCTTGTTTGAGTACAACATGTCCCACACGAAACTTTGAAACTCATAAGCCAAGCTGCCGACCTTGCTTTCCTTTTCCTGCTTTGGCACTCATCTTCTCTGTTATGTGTTCTCGGTCAGCCTGGTGTGTGTGTGTGCGTGTGTGTGTGTGTGTGTGCGTGTGTACTCAAAGAACCAAGCAGTCACCTCCACTGCAGTCAAACACCGCCTCTTCTGTATGTGTGTGTGTGTGTGTGTGTGTGTGTGTGTGTGTGTGTGTGTGTGTGTGTTTTTGCATTTGCATTTCCAGACTTACACACTCATTGCCCTGTCTATAAGTGTATGTGTGCAGGTTTAGATGCATTTAAGTGTGAGCAATGATACTAGTTGACATATTGACATGTTTTTTTCACTTACCTCTACATCTAGTCATGCAGATATTTTTTTTTATTTATTGGCACGTTATTCCAGAATTCCAGTCACCTCTATCGTATCGATCGTGGAGGCAGTAATCTCAGAAGACAGGTATGTGAAAACCCAAGCAAATTAAACTAAAACTATTAGCATGGCAAGATACTTTTGTTGATAATCTGGGTGAAACAACAAATCAAATATACCTCTCCATAATGTTCATGCTTAATGCTTAATGCTCATCCAACAGTATTCTATATACAAAACAATTCTGTCACTGCAAAAAAATAACATTACATAAGAAAATGGTTATTTCTCTGGAGTGTGGGAAACACATATACCCACAACTGACCCAGATGCAATATCCCTCTGATCCGACACCATGCTGTTTGACAGTTACAATGAGAGAGAAGATGAATTTATGCGTCTCGTTATGTTTTTCTGTCATCACCTCTGCAGATAACCCTGTGTTAAGCGTGTATGTGCATAAATGAGACACTCTGCTCTTTTTTAATAACTCAGGCATACTCGCGACGTGTCAAAAGACGTGTCATTAAAGAGGTACAGCACCGCAGGTAAGTGTGTGCGCTCCCTTGTGTCTTTGTATGTGTGTGTGTGTGTGTGTGCGATAAGGCTGAGCTGTGTTGTCTAAATCTCGGAACTCAAAGGTTTCCTTCATCTCAAGCAGGACTCTACAGGTATGCGACTCCCCCCTCCCCCTCCTGTCTCCCTTCTCACTCGCCCACCCTCCCACCCCCCCGGTGGCTCAGCCTTCACCAACAAGGCCAGTATTGTAGCGAGGGTAAAACGATAGCGCTCGGGGACAGGTTCAGCTATGTGGTTACTCAGACAACCTCTCTTACTCTTTTTCCCCACCTTCCCACCTCAACCCCCTCACCTCCCCCCGGATCCCTTCACCTCAGTGAGGCTGCATACATCCATTCATTTTTTTGGGTGACTTTCTGTGAGAGAAAAAAAGAGAGAAAGAGAGGAACGAAAGGTGTGTTTTATCTGGCCCGCTTGAATGCAGAGGGGCACCGAGGTTGAAGAGGACAAAGCCAGTCACAGAGAGAAAGAGAGAGAGGTCAATGAGGATAGAAGTTATTCTTTTCACAAAGAGATATGAGCTGGTTTTGTGGCATGTTGAGATACGCAACAAAAGGCCCTGCAGTCATGTTTCCTGACTTGTGGCCATGTAAAATGTAAGAAAGGCACAGATATTAGAGTTTTATTCCTTGCTTTTGGTTTTGGGCAGACATTTTAAAATCAAAAATGGATTGTGCCTAATTGTGCGTCTGTGCTCCGTCTGACTTAATTACTCAAGGTGTTATTTGGTGCAAAAAAACAGGCAAATCAATGTATGTATGCTATGCCAGTCTCTCTTTTTTCTTTGTGTGTGTCCTACCTTGTGTGTGTGTCTCTGGTTCACTGTTTCGTGGACTGCTGCGGAGGCGTCTCTCTGGCTTCTTCCCACCTGGACTGCTGACTCCGCCCCCCGAACCCACTGACCCAAGCGATGGGGCGTGTGATTTGTTGCTACATCACAAACAAAACGGTAACAGCATTTAATTAGTTAGTTAGTTATAGGGGGATCAGAAATAGTTTTGACCACCCCTTAAGGTAGTTACAGAGGATTACATTTTTTTTGTAAAATAGTATTCAGTAGAGATGTTTCTTTGCTGCAACAATGACATTCTTTTTCTTATGAAAATGAACAACTCAAATAATTGAAATTTTAACTGGATGAAGTCATCATTAATTTAAAAAATATGTAAAAAAGAAGTCCCTGTTAGAAACTTTGCTAAAGAAGAATGTTGTTTGTCATGTAATGCCACCTAGAATCATATACTTTTTGATAGCTGACTATTAACTTTAAATAATATACCATAATTGAGGGATGATATAGTTCTAAGAGTGGAGTCCCCTTGCATTTTGCCTCTTCTAGCAGAAACTACAAAGGTAGCTCTAACAACTACTAATTTTCTTTCTTTTTTTGACAATATTCTCAACAGTTAATGGCATGATCATAGCCAGTATCCTTCAAACAACAGTTCATCATTTAACCTGTGAAAAACTCACTCGATCATCTAGTCACAACCAGTCTTCGAGGGCCACAGGGGCAGTATGATTACCTGTATCCGTTGTGTGCTGGCCCCAGGCTGCCCTTATAGAGAGTGGAGGGAGGGGAGTTAAGTCGGTTCTGTCGCTCTAGTTGTCTCTCCTTTATCTTTTTGGGCTGTGGCTTACTGTATGTCTCCTCTCTGCCTATGAAGTTAGACATCCCATAAACTGGGATGATTTCTGAAGGAGAGGAGAACAGATGAGAATTTATGTCAAACAAAAAAATCTGTGTAAAGCGTATTTTTAAATTTGGATTAATAATAGGATGGATTAAACATAAAACCCCTGATTTTTTATTTTTTTTGGCAGTAGAATAAAGTCCAGTCAACATGTCAGTACCTGGATCGCCGTACATGGGGGGAAGGTGGTGCTGGTAGTACTGATGGGGGGGCAGCTCCCCGGGGCTTACAGGGGGGTAGAAAGAGTGAGAGTTTGGGATAAAGTGAGGGTGAGTCAAGTAGGGGGGCAGGTGGTGCGTAGGGGAGAGGGCTGGAGAGTAGGAGGGAGGGTAGCACTCTGGAGACTGGGGGGTCACAACCACCCGACGGACCCCTGTGGTATCCTCCAGCACCTGAGAAAAGAAAGGGACGTGTGTAAGACAAGTAAAATATGTTTCTGGAATTTCACAGTTTGCAGTACAGTGACGGCTCCAAATGGGATGAGTGTGTTTGAGAAATGCAAACTTCAGTACCCACAAATCATGAGAGGTCAGTAAACTGCACACTGGCTTTATATATTGCTGACTGAAGGTTTCCCTGGATAGTGCTTGCTCAAAGTGGCTTTTTTGAGTCAAGAGGATAATGTGCAGATTAGCAATGTCAATAGATTAATATGGTTTAAAGGAGTAGTTCAACATTTTGGGAAATACGCTTATTGACTTAGTTAGATGAGAAGACTGATACAGCACTCATTTCTGTAAATATGAAGCTACAGTCAGCAAGACTGGGAAAAAAGGAAAAACGGCTTGCCTACCTCTGTCCAAATGTAACAAAATTGGCCTACTGGCACCTCTAAAGCTCACTCATTAACTTTGTTTAATTTGTGCAAAAACCAAAGTGATAAAATGACAATTTATGGTTTCAAAGGGGTTATGTGGTGCACAATTCCTTGGCTGGGAGAAGTAACCTGTTGTCACTGTGAGATTTTTAGCCAACTCCGAGCCATTTAGCCCTGTTTCCAGTCAGTCCTTTTCCAGTGCTAAACTAACTGGCTGAAGCGTGGCATCAAGCATTTAGCTGATGTCAAAAAAGTTAATAAACATATTTTCCAAATTGCCAAAGTAGTTAAAATTCTAATAAATATATAAAGCTATTTTTAAAATCCAAAGATCCTGGAGCACCTGCTCTTACAAAATGAGGCTGTCCATCATTTTGTTAAAGCAGGTGCCCTGTCTGTCAAATGGTGGATATCTAATAAAGGAATGAGCTGCATAATTTATTTAACAACTGAGACATTGTGTTAACAGGACGCTTTGGCCCTTAAAGTGGTGAAAAGAAGTGCTGCAATGTTGTCATCAGATGGTCTGCAGATTTCAATAACAACAAGTTTCAAACAACTGCCTCAAATTAACATAAATTCCATACATGTATTCACTTTCACATTCATGGGCACACACACACACACACACACACACACACACACACACACACACACACACACATAAACACATACACACATTCCAACTATTCAGACACTTTCACAGGCCTGCATTCCAAGCAGAGAGCAAACACACTCCCTGCAGAGAGGGGAAGTCATCTGCTGGTTCCTAACAACAACAACAACACACACAGTCACACTCACACCAAATACCAAAAAGCACCCCCAACCCCCAACCCCCAACCCCTCCACGCACACTGAGAGGCAACAGACTCAGTGCCAGAATACGACAGAAAGAAAGAAGAAAGGGTATTAAAGAGGGTCAGGAGGGGAGGAAGAGTGGTTACAGAACTAATCTGTGAGAGAAAAACAGAGGGGAAGAAGAAGAGGAGGAGGAAGAGGAGGCCCCCTATCTGCCCCTCACCCCCTCCTCTCCTGCAGAAGAGAAAAACAGAGTGTTGACAGGAAAACAAGGGCAAAGTCCCTGCAAGAGTACATGTGGATCCGACCTACATGCCCACGCAACATTTACTGGCAAGGGGACACACACACACACACCCACACACACATCCCAAATAATACAAACTGGAAGGGGCCCACAAATATGCATGCACATGTGCACACCCACCCACCATCACAATGCATCCATTAGCACAAACCACTGAGGACACGCACACACATGTGCAAAATCCATCTGTCAATGCACTACTTTCTACCACCACAGTGCTCTTTCTCCATCCATCCCTTCTTCCACCCCTCACCCCGCAAAAACCTACCCACCCAGTGCCTGTCTCTGCTATCAGGCTTGTTTATGTAAGAGTGACAGTGTTTCCCGCTCTCACTTGGCCCAGTCCCTACTAACACACACACACACCCACACACATGCAAACACAAACACACACCCACGGTGAGCCAATGACCTGACTTCCATTGGCATAGGAACACAGTCCCACCACACGCAGGCCACAGATGAATTTGTAACACTATACTTGTGAGTACAGGCCATAGACTTGTTGATTCAGTAACCTTTGACCCCTCCATACTACTAACATGGCAAACCCACCTTTCTTAAAAATCCTCTTTTTAGGAGATTTTCTTATCTTTCTGGTATTGTGAGAAGACATTCTCTCTCTCTCTCTCTCTCTCTCTCTCTCTCTCTCTCTCTCTCTCTCTCTCTCTCTCCCTCTCTCTCTCACACACACACACACACACATATATATATATGAGAGAGTCAGAAAAACAAATGCCCCCTGACACCCAAAATTCAGCACATTCCTGCTCCCTGCTCTGTTGGCTTAGGAAGCTGCCTTGGTTACTACTTGCTCTAATTTACAACAGCCAAGATGGGTGTAATACCTTGTGCATGCTTTTTCTGTGGTTTGAAGCTCACAAGCTAATGATGACTACATGATCCACGTCTGATAGCATTCCATCAAAAATAAATACAAGCCAAAAAGCGTATCTAAAAAGTCAGCCAGTCTTTCACAGAAATATGTAACTGGCAAATGCTGTACTTGTTTGCTTTGAATGTCTCATGTTGCACAATCATACTTGCAATGCAACCATTTTTTGGCTGTCAATACATAATTTGGATTTAATTTTCCTTCCCGCATTTCAGGAATTTTCCAGAAACAAGCATCCGTATGTTGAAACAAACCAGAAGACAGGCTGCTCAAATGACACCAGTGAACTGACACCTAATTAAATAAATACTGAAAATGTTTGCCTTTTCCAAACCCTAATCCTAACATGTTAAAATAGTTTTTTATACTTATAGCTTACTTGATTTTAAGAGTCAATATTAGGTCACATGAAGGCATACAATTCTTTTTCTTTCCAGCACAGAAACCACCAGCTAATTAAATGCAGTCGCACACTCTGTGTTGTCTCCCTCTGTGTCTGACTATTATTTTGACCGAAACTCTCCCACACAAACACATGATGAAAATAAAAAACATGTCTGAGAGTATCAGACTGAGGAAAAACTAAACACAAACTAACCTGTGAGATGTATCCTGGGGGTACATGGATGGGGGGGATTGACCCATTTGGGGACATCATGGGAACCTCAGCAGGACCTGCAAGGGAGGAGGAGAATTATTTATTTAACCAGGCAGCTCAATCTAAAGTAAATTCTCATTTACATTCATCAATCAACAGTACACATGCAGAGACACAAACACTGAGGGGCAGAACAGGGTAAACTTCCCCTTATTGCAGTGAATCCACCTGTATATTTACATCAACTGTTCAAGTCAAAGGTTATATTATATAGGTTGTATTTTAGAGTAAACTCTACAATCTACAATTCAACAAATGACCTCACTTCAGAATGAGAACTCCAAGGGAAGACCGTGTTGTTAGCACAGAAATACTATGTGAGCCTGTCTGATCCTTTCATTTGGACCCAAGTGTCCTGTTGGATTCTCATGAGTGTCCTGCATGGAGATATATATATATAAAAATCAACCAGCTGCTTGAATTGGAAGACTTTGTTCCATTTAAATCTGCTTGCAAGACCTCAAAAAGTAGACAAACATAAATGTCTTTTTTCTGGCAAACAGACTTAAAGAGAAACTTCTGTATTTTTCAACCTGGAGTTGATGTTCGAACTAACCTTTTAAAACACCAAAGTCACACAACTATACAAACAAGCTAACCAATCGAGGCAGCGGGGGACCAGCAACCCGTGTGTTCTGCAAGGTAAAACGTTTTCTCAGTGAAGTCTGGTAGCTTTGAACAGAGCAGTACGACGACTGTTTCGAGTCAAACATGTCTGTATCATGATGGATATATGGACACATGAGGGCACATGACCGCTCACTGAAAAAGAAAATCTCTGCCCTGAAGAAAATCTAATAGAATTAGCAGATTGAAAATGATGTTTACTTTTCCACTATCCATACCCCACTCTCTCCCCCTCCCACCAAGTCTCTCCATCTCTCTCTTCCCCCGTCTCTCTCTGATGGAGGTCTACGGCTGCTAAAGTCATTGGGACTCCGTTGGGACAGCTGGAAGCAGACCTAGCCTCAGAATAAATCACACTGCGCACACACAGACACACACACATTCACAATGATGTTTCTGTGTGTGTGTGTGTGTGTGTGTGTGTGTGTGTGTGTGTGTGTGTGTGTGTGTGTGTGTGTGTGTGTGTGTGTGTGTGTGTGTGTGTGTGTCCACATCTGTCAAATGTAATTTGAATATTCTGAAGCCTGGTCTCCTTTAAAGGATTATTTCAGCCAAATTACAAAAGATCCAACATGTTCTCTCATTTATCTCTAGTGGAATAATTAAGAAAATATGTTTGATATTTTAATTTCGTAATGTAAATGAACTGACTCGTTTTTATCTCTCCCTTAATTTTTCCTTGTGTTCCTTCTCTCTCTTCTTCAATCTTTCCTCCTTTTCATCCAGTGTCCTGCCATATGTTCCTCCTTTCAACAACTTCTTTCATCTTTCCCCATATCACTCTTCCCTCCATCCTTTACCTTCTGCTGTTACTCATTTGATCCTGCCTTTCCTCCCATCCTTTTCCTCTCCTTTCCCCTGTTCCTCCACCCATATTTTCAGGAATTCCTCCCTTCACCTATTACTCACACCCTTTACTTCCACCACTGATTTTAAATATTACTCACTTACTTACTCACTGCCTTTCTTACTTATAAGTAAGTAATTCTCTCCCTCCATTTGTTGCCCCTCTCCATCACCACCATCCCCATCTTTCCTTCCATCCTTCCATCTCTCACCCACCTTCCTGACCTCTCATCAGCCAAACAAACATGTAACAGTACAGTAAACATACACACACACAAACACAACCTGAGCAAAGTCTGCAGTGCGGGCAAGTGTGTGTGTGGGTGTGTAGTGAGTAGGTCACAGGTATGAAGAGACAGACCTCTTTCAGTCCTGTCTGCTCCCCTACCATGCAGACTAGGAGTGGATATGAAAGTCCTCATTGATTGTAGAAGGTCATAGCATAGGGAGAACACACACACACCACACACAAACACAGAGCTCCTCTAAACCTCTTTCCATCACTGCTCATAACAAACTTTCCCTCTTGCTCACACACTGTCCCAAATACACACCCTGTCTCAGTCGCCCTCTCTCAGACACACACACACACACACACATACACTTGACAAACAGACATGTGTTTGGACAGTCTCTGCTGCCTCTGTGCTCTTCACTCAGCAAACAGCAGCATTCCTCTGCTCTCACACACACACACACACACACACACACACAGAGTGAACATTCCCATCCCTGGCCCCCAGGACTGGACCCAACAGGCCCAACTACCCCCCATCCCATCCCCAAAATACAAGACACTCTTTGTCCTGCTACCATACCCACACCCACACACACACACACACACACACACACACACACACACACTGCTGTAAGTCATATAGTATTAGACTGTTTGCCATGTAGAAAAGCTCAAGATAATCAAGCACGCAATTTGCACGTGTGTATTCGAGTGGTTGCTATTATGTCCGTGTGCATGCACGTAAACATAAAAGTGATTGTGGTGCACAATCCACATTGTGGTCATGTCACTCTCTGGTTTTGTCTCCAGCTTTGCCCTTTAAGTGCCACAAATAGAGTCACGACTTCCTCTGCCTAATCCTGCTGGAATCCCAGACAACACAGCTAACAAACTCCACTCCCATTTGCCCTCCTCCCCCACCTTCTCATCTTCCATCTGTGGCTTCTTCCACTTCCGACTGCCGGAGAGTTCAGGTCAGAGATCAGTTATGAGGTTATATCCTGCATGTGGGATGACATCAGTTTATTACCTGAGCTAACTAATGGGCATTAGTATGTGTAATCTGGCCCTCTGAGAGGCATCCGGGGGGGATCTGGCTAAATAACTCAGTAGAGTTGCCAAAACCAAATGAGACCTTAGTCAAGATTATTAGCAGGTTCACACCAGAAATAAAAAAAGATAAGAGCTTGGACTGGGTGATAACTTATTATTATCATTAATTGGCTATCAGTGTTATCATATGATGATCATAAAATCATATTGTGTTATATTTGTTACAAAATTTGGATGTCTCAACGAATGACTCTTAGCTTATTCAGTTATTAAATGTTTTGTTTTAGACATTTCAAGAGTTCTTACAGATTTAAAGCATAATAGTGGAACACAATTCTTTTTTATGATACATTATTTGATACAGATATCAGAAAAATAGTATTAATAATATGATGATACTGATTTCAACCATACCACCCTGCTCTAAGAACTAACAGTGAATACATAATAATCAGTCAATGATTACAATTAACTCAAGTTCAGTTTGTGCAAGAGAAAGTTTATTTTCTATATTTATGCTAATAGACAATGGTTATGGTGTGATAGATTGTTAAAATGCTAAATATATCATCTTATATTCACTATAAAGTACAGTGTCCAAGACAATTGCAATCCTAGGTTTCACTTACACTTATTTTACAGCGAACGGAAGTTGCTGAATGATGACAATGACTTCTAAAGTCACTGAAATAAAAGTGAGGTCTGTGGTCAGATATGTGGTCATTTAGGGGTCAGTAAAGTGTGCACATATTTGTTTGAGAGCTGCTGTCTAAGGCAACCCAAAGGACCACAGAAATGATGACATACTACAACAACAAAGAAAGACAAAGCACAACGATGACACACATTGGGAGGAGCAGAGAGGAAGACGGACAGGTGTTGAATGGGAAAACAGTGTTCGAAGAGCGACAGGTTAAAAATAAAAAAACAGAAAAAATTCCAATGACGTGTGGAAAAAATTGCAAAATGCATTAACTAATTTTGTCAAAAGTGTGAATGTAGTGCAACAATGAACAGAAGCATATTGTTAAAGAAAAAGACAACCACATGCTAATCTAACACACACACACACACACACACACACACACACACACACACACACACACACACACAATATTTAAGTCTCACCTCAGAAAGTTTATCGCCAAAGATTTACACAAGAAATATACAGACATGTCCATGGTAAACATCCTGTTCCATACTTTAACACACACACACACACACACACACACACACACACACACACACACACACACACACACACACACACACACACACACACACACACACACACACACACAATATCTTTATTTGCTCAACTCTTCTATACTGAAAAAAGAAACACAAACTAGTGATTTTGTCCAGCTGGATGTACATTACACTAAAATGCATACACACAGACAGGGGATGATGCAACATTTCATCAGATGTTTCCCATGATACAGCTGTCAAAGACAGCTGCGACTGGGCCCCCAAAACACACACACACTCAAACACAGAAAGAGCCCTGGTCACACACGGCCAATTACTTACATCCGTAATAATGCAGTAACTTATGCACACTGCATAAATACACTCATACTCACCTACTGATCAACAGTGCTGAGTGTTATTATTGAAGACCAAATTTGTGTATACGTTTGTTTTCTGTCCATCAGACTGAAGCAGTATTCAGCTTTTAGAGAGAAGTCAAACGTTTTCTCTCTTTTCCTTCATTTCAGCCCTGCACATGTGGTCGCCACATTGAAAGGAAATGCAGACCCTCTTGGGAAAGTATGTGTGTATGTGTGTGTGTGTGTGTGTGTGTGTGTGTGTTGGTATCAGACCAAAGGAGCCTGTTTGTGAGCTGACCTACATACAAAACAACTAGACTCAGATGGATTTCCCAAAAACACACAGACCAGAATAAAACATAGTGTTGCTCAGTAGACAGACTTTATCTTTAAAGTACAACACACAGACACACACAATCTTTGTATACCCGATCAGAGCCTCATGGAGGCAGCTGTCCGATCTAGATGGGTATTTGTAAGTGAGTGTGGATCTGTGCATGTGTGTGTGTGTCTGGGTCAGTTGTGACGTGGCGTTGCCTGGAAGTTATGTAAGCATCAGCGGGGTAATGTTATCTGTCCTCAGAGCAAGACACTCCCATGACAGCTTCCTCTGCCTGCCTGGCCAACAAACACACACACACACACACTGAACCACACACATACTGTAGAGCATGGCCTATTGTCATATCTAAGATATAAA